ACAGGCAAACTCCTCCAAATTGCCATATAAAGTTAATCAGTAGACCTCACATATGAGCTGAGTATTGGTTATTGTTATGTATGAAAAATGAAGTGGGTTTCTCTTAGCTTCAAAAGGTGATTAAGACAATTAGAAGAGAAATTTTGGCTCTTTTAAAAAGCCATCTTTTCTGCTTCCAGATCTCCTTCCTCAACTGCAAGGATTATTTGCTGACCTTGAGGAGCCATTGTTGTAATTACCCCCCAAGGAAATCCTCACAAAAGGGTTGCTAGCAATGCCTATGTACAGTGTAAGACCAACTTATCCACCTATGTATAGTTTACTAGTCTGCAAGCAGAAGCTGAAAAATAGCAAAAATGCAATTTTTAATCTGTGCTTTCGTGGATGACAAAGAGAGAAACCTCTCTTCTGGCAAAAGAGACAGGGCAGGGGTTTGAACCAAAGTGAACCTGTTTGTTGGCACCCCCACTTTAGAAAAAGACAGTTTTACATTTGCAAATAAATGCACTATCCAGCAGAATTCCAGCCCTTCCACCAGTTACTTTCCTAAACAGGAGACTTTCCTATGAGATGCTGGATGTCTGCTGCTGTTTCCCAGAGGAGGTTAGTGCCAGAGGGCGTTGGTCTGTTTTCTGAAAGGGATTGACAGAGTTCTCCCTATGTGTCATGAGTGCTTTTGGTAAAATTAGATTCTGCCCTGTCCACAACAATAAAGGCCATACCCACATGCAGCTCACATAGTTCATATGCTTCCTGGAGCAAAACCACAGCAACGTTCAACTGTCTGTTTTCTTCTTTTATTTTCGCAGTGGCTCCTGCCTTGGAATCAGGTGTTGGGTCTCGCTGCCACTGAGAGCCCGGGGGTGCCCAAGTGCACAGCATGAACCAGGCAGAACATATCCCTCAGACAACCAGAACAGTGCAGAGCCGTCGTCATCGGTCTGTGCCCGTGGTCAGGCTCCGGCTTCTGTAGTTAATTGTTTGAACAACAGCAACAAATCAAGCTGCTCTGAGGATCTGTGTGCATTCCTCCATCAGACCTGATTTGTATGGTGAGGACAGGCTACTGAAAGGAAGAGAAGGGGCTGAATTATCCCCCGTGACTTTGCTAAATTTGTCCTTGTGAATGGAGAGGGAGTGAAATATTTGTCTGCAGGGGGGAGCAGAGCGGTAACTGTCAGGAACAGCTGGAACATATATACTGTGTCATGTCTTTTTGTGGCACTAGGCTGTTCTGCTTGCTGAGGGAATGCTGCAGAGGCATGTTAGCATTCTGCTGAGTAAGTGTGGTGCGAGTTCCATGTGTAAACAGGGATCAGTCGCTAGATGAGAGAAAAGGGCTGTTCTCCCAGGGCCATGACTGCCTCTTGCATGCACCTCAACCTTCACCAGGCCTGTGTGGCGATGTAAATTAAATGTGGGGCTGGATTCTCAGAAAAATATCTGCTTGTGGAAATGTCAGTCTAGATAACTCTGGTGTCTCTTCCTCTTTCAATAACTATAAATTTGTGAATAAAATAAATTCTCCTGATTTTTCCCATCCTTTCCATCCTGATTATTCGTTTGTCCACAGGAAAATAAGAACTTTCACTACTCTCAAGATTAATAATAACATCACCAGTTGTTCTGCAACATGGAAATGGACAAGTTTAAATAGCACACTTAACTTCTTTAAATCAGTGCTCTGTAGAGTCACGAAGGAGTTTCCCATCAAATGCAATAAGCCAAGTGAGACAAATAAACCTAAGCAAATATATGTAATTCCAAACTTTCAAACTTGCCAGCATCACAATAATATTAAGAAAATAAATTTTATTTTTAAACTTTCTTAATTGAGTTTTGCCAGTGATTTCACCACATGTATTCAAAACATACTTGAAGTCCAAAATGAAATGCTAATGGATAAATGCAAAAGCTGGAACTAAAATAGAACACCCCAAGGGTTTCGCAGAAGTGTTCAGCTGAAATCAATTTTTCTTTGCTCTTCTTTCCCCTCACTTTCCATTCTCTTTCCAACCTCAGTTCGCCCTCTGCATATGTTTTCAACTGCAAGACTTTTAAAACAAAGACTCTGTCGTTCACCATCATGATGATGGATTTAAGTAAATAATTTTATGTTTTAAAAGTGGCTGAATAATCTTTGCATGGATCAGGACAAAAGTGAAATCTCACTTCTTCTATCAGGATGAGATACCATTCATTTTTAAGCCTGTTATTATCAAACACACGCCTGAGTGACACATTATCAGCACAATGAAAGTCGTCAGGGTAAGAAAAGAACTTTATTTGCTCTTTTAATGTTTGGAGCACAAATGCCAAGAAGGCACAGCAGCTTTCATAACAAACATGTTAACCCCCACATGCTCTGCCTAATTATGGCTTCCTGTATTTCTCCTCAGGCTACTGGCACCGTAAGTAAACTGGCACAGATTTTATTTGTTCTGATTACACTGAATGCAAGTTGTTGGGCAGGTGCTTCACAAGCAGCTGAGCCATTCCAGCAGTTCCAGAGGACGGGAGCTGTCTGACAGAGGAATGACACATCGAGCAGGGAACAGAATCGCTGTACCCCTCCCTGTCACCATGGCTACCACTCAGCAGGCGGTTTTTGGGCAGAAGTGCCAATTTAAGCAACTGCTGATTTCTTATTATTGCCCCTGCATCACCCGCTCCCTTGGTCAGGTGCAAGTGTGTAGTAGGCCACAACATTTATCAGATCAGGAAACTAGTCCTGATCCAACTGGAAAATAAGCTCTCTTTTTTGACTCATTCTTTTCCAAACAGTCAGTTTTGTGATTCAGTTCCTCATGTAGGCACACAAATAAACTGTGTCTGTGCAATGGAGGCAATGGCAGAAGGGCAGGGACAAGTGACTTAAAAGATGGTGACTACTGGTGATTTAAGCAGCATTACCACTGACCACAGCAAAGACAGAGCCAGAGCTCTCCTTAAGGTGTGGTTTGGTATTCAGTGTTTAGATCCACTTGGCAGTCCAGGCTCCTTGTACCTGTGTCCTGTTCCCTCCCCATTCCCTCTGCTGCCTTTCTGTGAGTGGTTATAAAGCTGCACAAGGGAACCCATCTGTCTGAAGGATGATCCAGTAAAAAATGGGTATTGTTAGGACACCGCAGGGATAACACATGAAGTGTATCACAACTCATTTTATTTTGGCAGACTGATGTTTTAGAGCCTTTAGGTTTAAGGCTACTGTATCTGTCAGAGTGACACAGGCAAGTCACATGTGGAAGGAAAGTGTGACTTTCCTTCCCTAAATAATTCTGTGGCTGGATGCATCTCTCCAAGGAAAAGTCTTACAAAGCCTTGTTCACAAACCTGCTATTAAACATGTGAAGTTGTTAAACCATCACTGTGAATAAAGGATAAATGGAGCTGAGTGAAGGTGGTAGTAGAATGGAAGGCTGGGAATTAAATAGTATTGTAGGGCTGCATGAAAGTCACACTCAAACAAAAACATATCAAAAGAAGTCTGAGCACATTTGAAATAAACTGTTTATAGTTTATTCATGACAGTTTTCATTTATGGTAGGATTTTTTTAAGATCAGTGATAATGTAAAGCACTAGCAATAGGAACGCTATGAGTTTGTACAGATTTATTTATATTTTTATGTAAATGTACATAGAGCATATATTTATATATTGTATGCCATTTATAGTACATATTATATTAAATATAATAAATACATATTGCCACCACATTTTTGCTTAAAAACTAGAAAAAAAGTTATGGTTTCTAGTTTGTGAGATGACACTGCAAGCTGTTTTCAGCCTGCCCTGTCAAAGAGCCCCAGCAGAGACATGAAAAATTCTGTGAAAGTATTAAACACTCCCACTGGCCCAATGCTGCTGATCACACCTTGCAGAGTCAGGGGCACCACGAGTGCTGTATCTGGGCAGGGGCACCTGAGACTCCTGGAATTACAGAGTCGTGAAACCCAGTGAAGAATCACTGCGTCCACTTTAAGTCAAAGTTAAAAAGGACTCCTTGAAAATGAATACAAGCTGCCCTGTCCTTGAAAAAGCAGGAATTTCCCATCCTGGAAAGAGGCACTGACTACAAGGATATCAGCAAAGTTATGCACTTTGTGGGAGTATTTTTTACTTGTGACAGTGGAATGGCAACCTGTCTCCTTGAGGGCACTTCTGAAAAAGTCTGTTTCTAAAAATATATGATGATGTGAGAAGAAAAATCAAGTTTATTCCTATTAAATTCATACAAGGGACTAAATCCTACTGAAAAACCTTTAAATCCGCAAACCGACAAAGTCTGGCGGATGCTGGAAGCTGCAGTGGAGGTCTCAGTGGGGACAGCAGCAGTGGGGACTGGCCCTACCGGCGCTGGCTGCGCCTCCCTCGCAGGCCAGGGCCCTTCTCCGGCCATCGCGGTCAACCCCGCCGGGTCACCACGACACTTCACGGAGACCACTGCGGTCACCGCGCCCCGCCCGGCGCTCCCACGGCTCAGCTCTGGGGCTTGCTCACCCCGGGGGTCCGGGAAGGGGTGGCCGCTAATCCCGGGGCTCCTGGCATGGGCGGCCAGCATCCCCGCTCCGGGCAGGGATGTCCAGCATCCCCGGGGCTCCGGACAGAGGGTGTCCAACATCCCCGGGGCTCCGGCAGGGAGTGTGCATCATCCCCAGAGCTCCGGGCAGGGGTGTCCGGGGTGATGCGCGGCCGGTCGCGGGAGCAGCCCGCTGTCGGTGCCGGTGCCGGGGGTGTCGCAGGCGGCGGCGGCGAGCCCCGGCCGCCCATCACGTGCTCAGTGTGTTGCATTGTGCTGGCGGTGGAGGGAGGGCTGGCCGTGTCAGTGATCAATGTCATGACTTCCTCCGCGGGCTGGAGCCGCGGCAGAGCGCAGCTGAAGGAAGCTGATTGCTGCGGGTGCGAATTGGCTGGGAACAATACACACACCCACACACCCGCACGGGCGGACAGGCACCCGCACACACACACCCGGGAGCACGCACACACCCGGGAGCACACACACGGGAGCAGACAGACCCGCACACGCAGGCACACACCCGCGGGCGGACACACACGCACACGCAGCCCGCACCCTGGATCCCGCGCCGCCGCTCCGCGCCGGGGGGGAAGATGAGCTCGGGGGACGTGGTTTGCACTGGATGGCTCATCAAATCACCCCCCGAGAAGAAACTCAAGAGATACGTAAGTGCAGAGGCTCTGTTGGTATTTTTTTTCTCTCTCGCTAAAGGGATTTCGGCGTGTGCTCGCTGTCTCGTTGTCCCTTTGAAAGCTCTCTCCTGTTTCGGCTTCGCCTCGGACCAAAACAAAAAGATTTCCAAGTCCATGCGCTTACGGAGTATTTTAGTTTTCACCGACATTCTTGTGCCCTTTGGAATTAACCTTTCCCGTCTCGTAAGATTATAATTCTTCAGCTGTTATGCAACATATCAGGCTAAAAACCACATTTCGGTTTCAGTTAATGTTGCCGTAACTAGCAGAATTGTTGTAATAGTATTGCAGATGTCACTTTTTCAGGGACGGGCAAGAACATCCTAACAAAAAAAAAAAAAAAAAAAAAAAAAAAAAAAAAAAAAAAAAAAAAAAGGAAAAAAACAACCAAACAGCCCAAATCCTAATAATTTAAATTCTGAGTCTCTGCTTTGTTAAGATGCTCCGTAATTGCAATGGCACTTGCTAAAGGCAACATCTGCAATAGTTTTATTTACCAATGCCAGATCCAGTAGCCAACAGAAAGCTTCACTTTTGGTCCGTGATAAAGAGGTGCTGGAAGATGCTGTTCTGTAAAGTTCCTGATAGCTGGAAGGTGAAGGAGGCTGGCGAGAATAAACGAGCCCTGCATGGAGAGCTGCAACTGCGTTATGTGTGAAGGGGGCCCCTTGTTTCGTTCTCTATCTGCCTGCCTGTTTGGAAAAAAAAAAAAAAAAGGATGTGTGTTGCAAACATAGGAAACTGTCTCGGTCCAGGGCTCTGAGGAAGGCGCTCCGGGTAGGAATAAATGACCCTTAAAATTTTGCTTGGGACAGCATTAAAAATGTAAAGCCCATCGTGGGCCATTTTGCATACTCATTTGTGGTGGTTCTTCATCAGGCATGTTGATATGTTGTTGTGTTGTTACACTTTTGCATTCGGTATTACCCGTTTGAGTCATGCCCTTCTAACCTAACTTACCCCCGAGCTCTGTACTAGTAGGATGCCACCGAACGTGTCTCTCGCTGCCGAGCCGAGTGCATGGCTTACATCATTTGTCGTATTCACTTCTGTTTATCAGCATTTTCTCCGGACTGCTGATGTTCGCTTTTTCTAGTAATATGAGGCATAACTGTATCGTGAAGAATGTGGTGGATATCATTTGGCAGTGTATTTTTTCTTAGCACCAAAGACTAGCAGAAAGGATAATTTCCTGATGTTAGATTCTAGTTTTAACTTATTCTAAATCAGAGTTTCTTCTTTTAGACCACAGTATTGCATTGAAATGGCTGAATATTTGCTTTGTTCGGTTAGCATTTTCCAGTTCTAAAATAACCACTATGATGTGTCTCAGGGGAGCTGCAAATAAAATATGGGTCTCTAATTTTTGCTATATTTTGTAACGAGTGTACGAATAGGACTGTATAGGAGACACAATGTAAGAGCCACTGATTCACCCAGCTGGTATCATTAGTAACTCTGTCAGTGAAGCTATTTTTGATGACTCAATATTCATAAAAGGGCAAAGTAGAGAAAACAGAATGTGATAAAGCTGGGATTTGAAAGCCCCCATTATACAGTCAAGATAATAGTCACAACAGGGGCTCTGATCAGCTCACAAGAGTAGTTGCAGTCTGCTCTGCTCAGATTTTGCGCAACAAAACCAAGGAAAATTTGTTCTATGTTATTCTCTAAACATCAACCACTAGATTAGCCAGATCTCTGCAGATTAGGCTCTGTTTTCTGGTTAGGAGGATAAGCTACTCCTTTGTCCATCATAAAGCAGAAATAAATCTGCTGCAAGTACAGCAAAGCTTAATATCCTTTCTCATATGACTGGTTACACAGTGGATGCTACAAACCAGATGGAAATTGTCTCTCACCTGCTGTAAACTATTTTCCCTCCACTTTTTATACAGTTTCACCAGCATGGCAGCTTGTGCATCTTGCACTGGGGTGGCAGATAGCTCAGGCTGAACCACAGTGACTGCTTAAAAACAACAGAGCTTTAAAACAATAACTGTTTAAACTGACTTCAGTAGGTGTCAAGTGTCAACCGCTTACAGGAGAATGGTGTTGGCTCTGGTTCTGAACTGACAACATACATAAATCCCCAAACTGTACACCACCCTTTGTGTTCAGCTGGCAAAGCCCCACGGTCTGAGCTGAAGGTTCCAGGGAGCTTCAAATGCCAGCTTGGTCTGCTGCTCATGGGACCTCTCCTACGCTGCCGAGGCTCCGCTGCTCCCATGGGTTTGTCTCCCAGTTTACGTTTTCCTGAGCTCAGCATCCGGCCTTTGTAAGGTCCAACCTGAGGGTCACCTTATTTTACGCACAGAGAAATTCTTAATCCTCCACCTATTACAACCACTAAGAAAATCCAATTAATTTCAGTTGAATCTGTACTTAAGAAATTAGACAAAGCGATGAATTCATGTTGTGAGACTGGGAACTGCAGATGGTCCCACTGAAGCCACTGAGGATATTTACAGTGTTTGTCAAATTAAACAAATTAATCTTTCCAAGGCTGGAGCCTAAAGACCAAAGTATACCTTTATTTATGCTTGTTCTCTGAAGAAAACAATTAGGTTTTCTGTGTGTAAACAAGTCAGCATTTGGGTCTAGGTAAGCAGAACGTTGTTTTCAAAACTTTGAAAAGCAAAAAGCAGGTGTTAAGAATCTATATTTTTCCTGTAATGTCTTACAAAGCTGATGCTCTTAGCACTATTCTTAGAAGTGTCTTATCATTCCCTAACAAAGGCTGCTCTCTTGCATGTGCAGGAAACGAACATGAGATTAATTACCCAAGTCTAACTTTCTGTAAAAACAGAGAGCTTAATGCTAAATGCACAGAATTCATTAGAAAGCACAGGGAGCTTTGCTACAGCAGGCAAATACTCTAATAGTGGTTTAAGAGCATGGGCAATGCTTTTCCCTCTGGCTGATACTTGAACCATGAAACCACCACGTCAGCCTATCTAAAGAGGCAGTTGTGCAAGGAGTCTCCCAGGAGAGTATTTGGTGTGTGTTGCAGTTCTTTGTCCTCTAACTGTGACCTGAAAGCTGTGCTGCTCTCATTTCCCCACTTGGTTCCAGCTTTTCTCACTGATCAGGGCTGTGTGGGCCTGAGCAGTGCCAAGGTACACCCAAAGCTTGGGGGAGGCTGGGATGGGGCGGAGACAGAGACGAAGAAGCTGCTAACAAAAACTAAGAAGTGGTGGTGATGGAGGTGAAGTCCATCCTGCTCCAGACCAAAATTGCTAAGTTTCAGGCATAGCTTGACATTCAGCTCCACAAGAGGAAAATCTAGCCCCGCTGGAAATTTTGGTATTGATGTTAGTGGATCATAAGGAAATTAGATGCCATGGGAGAATCTGCTTCAAATTCGATGGGTTTCACAGTTCCTTATATTAGTGCTGAATACATCCATCCCAATTCTGTAATGTCAGCATTGAACAGCTGGCTTTTTGATACTTTTCATATGGAAATATATGTGATCACTGATTGTTATTGTTTGTTTTCTATTTATTGGTGGAGGTGGAAGGAAGGAATGGTTTGGTGGCCTAGAAAACAAAGGACTTAGCACAGCCAGTGCAAAAGTCACTATGAGAGGAAAACAACATGGAAGAAGGCACAGAGGATGTTTAATGAAATAAGGGACTAGTACCATTGAGAAGACACATTGCTCATGTGCTGATAAGGAGATGGGATTTTTAACACACGGCTAATTGCAACTTGTCCTTAAACCACTGTCCCATAGTTTGTCACACCAGTGAGGAACAGCAGCAGTAGCTCTGCTGAATGACACACCAGTGTTTACTTACTGGCAGTGTTAAGTTACGTGGTTTGCAGTAGTAAAGGGCTATATACAGATGCTTGCTTGTTGTGAGTCAGTGCAACTCCATTTAAGTCACTGCTGCACAGCTGTCCCCCTGCTGAAGAGCTATTTTTAATCTTCAGTACTATACAAATTGATGAGGGAAGACCACTTGCTCAAAAAAAAGGCAAGTTTCCCACTTTACTTGAGTGACTGATTTCTTCAAATGTTGTTGAAAATCAAAATTCCTTGTCAGCTTCTCTAGAACAAAGAGTCCAAAATGGACCTCGTATTAGAAAATGTAGCCTTGCACTTCCTGCCACGCTTCTTCTCGGAGTGTCTGGTCTGGGAAGACAAATAGAGGTGTAAATTAGTGTACCAGATGGAAAAAGAGAGTAAAGCAGTGTCTGCTCCTGCTGCCTCTGTGCTTTGGGCTGTCAGAGGGGCCCAGCAGGGCGCAGCCACATGTCTCTGACCGTTGGGGGATCTGCCAGGACCCGACCGCAGCACACCATGGCCAGGGGTTTGGGAGATAAGAGAATGTAGACAACTTCTCCATTTTTAGCTGAAGTTCTGGTATTTATCAGGAGAGCAAACAGGAAGTTACTGGCCACTAAGAAGAAAAAGTAAAGTAGAATTATGGAAGAGTTTGCTGAAGTAATAGGAACAAGAGTGGCAGAGCACGGCCGCGGGCGGGTGGGATGCAGAGCATCTGCTCTCGGATCTAACGTTGGGCTGCTGTCAGCAGAGGACACTGCCACCCTCCCCTAAAGAAATCCCCAAGTGCTATGTGAGGTCAAGTACCTCTTCTGCTGGTTTGGGGCTTGGGGGAAGTTTCCAAAAAATAACTAGCAAATTGAAATCTGAACTTCATTTTTATCCATAAAAAAAACCAAACACTGAAGTCCTTTTATTTCCAAATGCTTTCTAAAACGCCTCACCTCTTGAGTCCTCTCCCCTCTGAATAGAGAATTATGGTCACCTTTAATACCTTTCTAGAATCCATATCCCAAGTTCTCATTGAACTAACTGACTGTATTTAACCAATTTGCATGGGTTGTGTAACTCTAGTTCATAGTTTGGGTGGAAATAGTAGTCCCATGTGATGGAGAAAGGTGTCAAAGCCTGTAGCTTGTTCTAGTTGTAAGTTTTGTGCCTATGTTTTTTCTGTTGTTGC